AATAGCATTACATAGCTCTTGCCAACCAATAACGTGACTGCTTCATTGTCCACTTCAGACGCGCAATAATCTTATTTTTCGTATATTTTTCAGGACAATATGGTCACACTGCACATGATGCTCACTTCACCGCATGTAGTGGATTTAAAGCCAATGGTCGAGACGTGGATAACCAATTTGCAAGAAATAGAAAACATAATTGACATTTGGGCGGATTGCCAGAAGAAGGTACAACAGTAAAACACCCTTGTTAAGCAATGGTGGCGCAGTGGTAGGAGCACTCGTCTCCTGCCAATGTCGCCTGTGGCTAATGTTACCTCTTATGTTGGTTTGACTTGACTTGTAAAATTCAATAAGCATTTCTGCTTTCTTTTACTGTAGTGGCTTTACCTCAGTAATGTATTTGCGGAACCTGAGATAAGAAAGTCATTGGAGGAAAGTAACCGGCGATTTCTTGAAGTTGATGAAAAGTACAGGGTAAGTTAGGTCTCCTGTCAGTTAGTAGTGTATTTAAACCGAAATGAAATAATCCCATGTCATATTCGTTAAGAAAAAATATCAATAGGAAAACGCATCAAGCGACAAGCAAAATCTCACAAAATAAGCTGTGAAATATAGCAAAGGATGTCACATCATCTTAGTTTCTTTCAAGGTTTGCTTTGTTGAAATCGATTTGTTATTTGAAAGTAACGATTTCTGTGGAGGGAGGGAGACTAAACAGCTCCTAAACGAAAAAAGGGTTGAGACAAAGGAATAGGTATGTTTTCTAACTCTACTTGTCTTTACTTGCGTTGAAGTGTTGAAGTACAGTAACGTTGTTGTTAGCTTGAATGGACACTGTCGTATGAGCGAGTACCTTTTTATCTTAATTTGATCTACAGGTTATTTCTACAAACGTTCATTTCTCTCCTCCATTAGGAATATGTTCAAGTAATTCTGAAGGATCCAAAAGTGATGTCTGTATTGCCCTTAAAGAAAAGAGGACAGAAAGGCTGGCGTGAGCTGCAAGGTGATGTCCTCAGAGGGCTCTTACTGGAGCTCATCAGAAAAGAGGTAGCTACGCAATAGAACTGAATACTTCAAAGTTTTTGGTGTTGAGTGAAATGCACCTTCCTTTGAGGGTGGTTTAAAAAATTTTTCACTTTGTATCTTGATACAGGAAGAGCTGATCAGACTGGTAGAGAAATATATTGAGAAAACCCGTGTTGAATTTCCACGGCTCTTCTTCCTTAGTGACAATGACCTACTCGGTCTCCTGGCCTGGTCTCGTAATCCCAAGGATTTACTTCCTTTCGTTAGGAAATGCTTCCCTGGTATAAACAACCTTCAATTCACTTTGCCAAGGGACGGCAACTTGAAGCTGGCTTCTTCTCTGGACACAGCACTTAATGGTACTCTATACCTATTTTTCCCAGAACGTAATCAGCATAAGTTTGAATCATCAAAGTAGTCTTTGGCAAATGTTTCTTGTCCCTTTGTGGGCCTCTTGACATTGAGTTGGAGTAACGAAAACCTGATAAAGATTGACCTACTGGAAACACTTTAAATGATAAAACCCTTTATTATATGGCTGAAGATGGAGCGAGACCTGTGATCAGATTGGCTTCCCGAATGGGCAAGAAAAGAGAAAAAGGTCTCTTTTTGGCCATATGATAAATCCTTTATCTTCGTCTCTGTCCAAAAAGCGCAAAAAAGAACTTGGCCAAAATCCAGCAATCTCGACTGAAAACAGGCTTGGTCAATAACGCATATGAAGTGCACACCGGTATGACAAACGTCATGCTTTGCCTCTACTGCTAACGATTTTTTCACCCGCATGAAATTATGTTTTATCGGGTCCCACAGTAGCTGGCAACGAAAATGACTACCGCGATGATTTTCAAAAGGTAGCTATATTGTGTAGACAACATTGGAAATTTTCCAAAAATATCGTGAATCGCTTTGTTTTTAATTGTGGGTTTTCATTGACAAAGGGATCTCAAAGCAGACATACATTCTAAAATTGGCCGGCTCGCAAGGTAATTTAGTTTCTCAGATAATCTGAATGACTAATCCTACTCTCGTATTCTTTCAGCGCACCTTCTTCAAGTCACTGCTCTTGAAGGAATGCTTGAGGAGGTGCTTCCTTTGATATCAGTCATCCCTGCTTCCCCTAGACCTCAGGGTTGGCTTGCTACTTTAGAAGAAAGGATGAGAAATGCGCTTGTTAAAAGTCTAGCAGAATGTGTCCTAAGGAGGCTGAGTGGAAAGGAAAATCCTAGCGACCTTCTAGAATTGATGACTACTGAAGGTTAGACGATGTACAATGGAATCTCTTAGTCACTTTAAGATGTGTGTTTTGTAAGCTTATTATCTGTTGCTGTCTCTATAGGCACATATAGTGCATATCAAGATCACACGTTGCTAAAGTTCCCAAATCAGTGCATCCTGACAACTGAAGCCATTATGTGGAGCAAAGACATGAGTGAGGCCCTACAGAATGGAAGTTTGCGAGGATTGTCTGACCTTAAGTATGTATTTTTGGATGTTTATGTTTTGGGAAGCCTCCCGATTCCTGCCCGTTTCTTCCTGCTCTATCCACAGACAAATCTGAATGTTCTAATGCGGACTCGTTACATGCGGTGTGTTCACGTTTTTCTATTCGAGTGCTCTGTCATTTGCTTTTTTTGAACTCATTAATGCATGTGCAACAATTTGTCAGAGTAAGTGTCATCTCGCAGTGGATCTGCACCCAGCCATAGCAGCCGCTCTTTTAAAACTTAAGTCCATAATCCTTTGCGAGTGCCGTTTGCCTACTAATACTACTGGTACTGGTACTTTCTTTAATTCATTGACCGTCATGGAGTAACAATTTTCCTCCTTGTTTCGTTTCCCTTCCACTGATCACCCATCCATTGCCTTTAGGAAATCCCTTGCTGGATTTATGGTTGATCTCTCAGGGGCTATCAGAAAGAACATGGAATGTAACAACACTAGTCTCATAAGTAATCGTCTTGAGTTACTACTTGCTGCTCTAGCTGCCATGACAATACACCAAAGGGATACTGTAACCGGTTAGTATTTTTTGGTTGTATAAAATATCACCACCAACACAAAGGAATGTTACCTCAATCTCTAAGAGCCAAATATTTAAACGAAGACAAACTTAAGCCGCGGTTTAACAAATCTTTGAACCTCTAGATCTCTTCTTTGGTGTGTTGTTTTAAGAAGATAAATGCTTTCCTAGTCTTCTCTATATGCTTTCACAAAACTGTTCACAATAATTGATGTGTAGATAAAATCGTTGGGCGAGTTCAAAATGACTTAGAACGCGGTTTTGTTAAACACTGACTAAACTACGTTTAAATATTTTGCCCTAAATGTTTACTGATGACCTTGTAAATAAGTTAGAACTGTGGATGATTCCAGGTTGACACTTGTCAGTAACAAGGTGATGGAAAATCATAATATCATTTCTGCAGCATCATATGAGAGAAAGTCAATAACATCTGCCTCCGCGGAATATCACTTTTCCCTCCTATTATACACTTGACGGACTGAATTAACTAGCTGTGCCACAAATCTTGACGAATTTTCAAAAATGACATCTTAAGGGCTGGCCATTGAACACGCCTTAGAGTTTGCTCCATGTTTTTGAGGACATGTTAAGTTTCTAGTTGTAAGCTTGCTGTGTGAGTGTGTAGAGTGACGCTTTTCCAGACGGATAGAATTTTTATCTGATAGTTGCAGTGATACAAACAACGATGAAGATTACGAATGATGACTATCATGTTAATGATGATGCTGAACATTTTTTGTACAGACTTCATGAAACAAGGAATCACAGACGTAAACAGTTTTGAATGGGCCAGTCAGCTTCAACACCAGATAGAAATCAAGCCTGTACTTAGCTCTTCTTATCAAGGAGAAAACAACGACTCATCTTGCACATCCAAAACTATCCCCATCAATCGTCTCTATGAGGTCGGGCGGTGCAGCGTTCGGCAACTTGGTACTAGCTTTGTTTATGGCTATGAGTACCTTGGTCCCACTCCTCGCCTTGTTGTTACACCTTTGACGCAGAGATGTTTCCTGACTCTAACCATGGCTTTGCGGTCCCACCAGTGTGGGGTTCCTGTGGGACCTGATGGCATCGGCAAAACAGAAACTATTAAAGATCTGTCTAAGGTATGGTACCATTGTTTTGCATACTGCAGAAAATGAGAGGGGGAGAGGGACTGGAACTCATACTAGCCCATTAGGAATCCTCTCTTTTTGTGACATTTCGAAGTGTCCGTTTAGTTTATGCTGCTCAGAGTCATTTCACTCTTCAGTATAAAGCTTTGTTTCGATAGAACTCAGGGGAAAAAGCAAAAAACACATTAAAGCTTGTTTCCCTTTTTTCTTAGCGATAATGTTTTTTTTGGAATAGTCGTCAGTGTATTTTAAAATGGTCTACCGTTCATCGTTCGGTTTTCAGGAATTCTCTCGAAGCTTGCCCTTATTCTCACAACAGTTTCAAACTCTCCGGAGTTTTTACCTCTGGATGCCCAAAGCTTTAAGTTTAAAAGGATACATGGTTTGAATGTCAGGAATTTGATTTGAAGATTAGGTTAAGTTTGTTCGGTAAGTAACATGCATTTAACAGGGCAGTTCGTTTGTTTTTTATTCCTTTAGGCCTTTGCAAGGCACCTGGTGATGTTCAACTGTTCAGAGCAGTTAACAAATTCCATGCTCGTCCGTTTCCTTTATGGCATGGTTAGGTCAGGTAGCTGGGCGTGCTTTGAGAATGTGGATTGTTTAGGTCCTGGTATCCTTTCCTGTCTTGGCCAACATCTTTCTACGATCAGAACCTCACTGAAATGTCTGGAAGAGTTGGTGACGACTCAGTACACTGCAAGAGGTTTTCATAAGCCAGGCACTCAAGAGGTAATGTTTAACAGGATTTCAGAAATTTGCAAAGGAAAAACACGTTATTTACTTGGTATCTTGTGTTTGTTTTTTTGTTCCTGTTTTCATTGCCTTTTTTTCTTTCCTTGACTTTACAGGCTGACAATGTTAAGAGAAGAAGCAGCATAACTACTCTACATTCACTTCCTAATGAACCATTTATACCTGGCTCCAAGCCAGATTCCTTATTGGTAAGAAATGAGTTAAGTTCGAAGTAGTGTGACCAAGAAATGAGACGTTTGTTCCCTGCATGAAATTAACTGTAATAGCTTAAGAACAGCAAGAACCCACATACGAAGGAGTGGGGGCTATCCAAATGAAAGGTGGATGAAGAGTAGTGGCTAAAGAACTATTCATAACTTTTCAAACTTGCACTACTAAGAAGTGCTAGTTTAGATTGGCTTTCATTGATGATTGTAGTGTTCAGTCACTACGACGTTGTTGAACTTAAAGTGAGACGCCTGCATGGCAACAAGGAGGGCATGAAGAAGTCCACATAAAGTGTGTTAACCAGTATGTATCTATGAATCTATGATCTGTACCTATCTTTATCTATCGAGTGCGTAAAATGTTCTTTAGAATAAATACAGTTGAACGTCCGCTAACGGCCACCTCTCTACACCGGCCACTTTTTTCGTCCCGGCGGACAAAAAAACCGATACATTGACTCGTGTTTAAAATCTCTCTTCAACGGCCACCTCTTTGCAACGGCCACTTTCTGCTGTCCCCAAGGTGGGCGTTGTAGAGAGGTTCAACTGTATGCTTGTTGATTTACGAACATTCAGGCAACAGGGCTGTGTTCCTTGTTTGTTTCAGGGAAATCACCTCGACAAAGGAAGAAGACATCACGTTGTTTTAGAAGGAGGTGACCTCCAAGAAGCAGATTACTATAGTGATGCCACTCGTGTCTCGTCTCTGGAAGAGCAGAGTAAACTTCAAGAAACATTTCAAGACAGAGTAGAAATCGAACACAAAAAGGAACTCAGATGCAAAGAGTTTAAGATGCCCCTACTCGGTAACATTGTGTTTGAAGGACAGCTTATGCCCGCCAGTGAGATGTATGGTTGTTTTATGACTATGTCTAAGAGTTACAGTTTGACTGCTGATCTGCCTGAAAATTTTCGGGTAAGTTCCCTCATGAAACTTGTAATGAACAGTTTTCAGTTATATTTTGCGACGAATGAAACCTTTAACCATTTTCAAATCGTGTCAGTTGATAACATAATCGAGTTATCTTCCAACACTTCGTAATCAAGTTAAGAGAGAGCCCTGCATATCTCTAGATTATGCCTTCGTTTTAACGTCCCTATTTTTAAGCAATTTTGCAAACGCGTTTTGCATACGAAAAAATATTTCTCTTGGTGATCTGTTGAATATGACAAGTCAAATGACTGTTCACTCCGTGGGAGCAAAAGAAAACGTTTTCCTTTTCGTAGTTATTCTTAAGGCGCTTATGCATATGTAATGTTTTTGCAAACGATCCTGAAGTGGGTTCAAATCTTAGCACAGTATCTATCAGCAGCTTTATTACACAAGTGTAATACAGGCTGAAGACCCTGACGTACGGTCATAGATATCTTTGAAACCTACACTGCGCAGAAGCTGCTGTCACTCAAATGAATGATCTTATATCCCAGGCACAGCTGAGACCCGTGTCGATGGTTTTTCCTGATTGCCGCCCTGTGGTTGAAGTCTGGTTGGTAGGATGTGGTTTTACAGAAGCTAAACCTCTCTCTACAAAGATGGACACCTTCTTCAAGTTAATCAACCAACAGGTTAAACATAATACCAACAGTTCATGTATGAGCATGAGTATGATATAGTAAATAATTTTAGCACTATATTATATAGGAGGAAAACTGAGATTGTGATTATTACTGTAATTATGATCGTCATTATTTGGATGATAGTTATCTGGATTATGACAAAGATATTTTTCTGTTTTGAAGGTTTCTTGTCAGCCACAATACTCATTTGGATTGCGTAGCATGAAGATGGTGACTTTACTGGCTGGAAAACAGTTACAGAGGGATGTGGCCAAAAAGAGACCCAATACAATGGGTTCTGTCAGAGAAGAATCCTTGTCCAATCTGAATGGTGATACAGGTCTGTTATTACGTCATTTTAAAGGGGAGGCGTCCCAGGTGTCATAACTCCTGCCTTATTTTTCTCGCGACGTTTGGCAAATTGCAATGATGTCATTGCATACACAACTTAATGGAGTCCAACAGGACCGAAGCTTAATAAAAATTCTGAAGCAGTGAGCTCTTCGCTGCTAGCTCCTTTGCCGGATTGAGATGTGCGTCTATCAGAAGGTTATAACGTCCTTTCCGTTCCCGTGTCTTGTGCACGAGAGACAATAGGTAGCTGGTGAAAGAGAAGGTTTGAAGTTCTATTTGATTGAACGTTTGCTGTCCTCCAAAGTTGTCTGGACCAGCGGGCGTTGGGCTTGAGGGAGGGACGGGGCTGTTTATAGTGAACTGCAAATTTATAAGGCATGATATTCCTGGCGTAAGGCGTTGTTGGTTTCTGCAATAGCACAGATTTATTATGATAACATGAGCGGAGGTCTGACGGAGGTGATATGCTTAGATACCTGCTTGTCAAGACGTATCGCCAGTAACTAGGTAACTATGAAATAAATGGTGAAATAAAAGTACCTATATGAGTTGTATGAAAGTAGATCATCGCAGTTATAGACGCAACTTTTGCAGTTGCGAAAAGACTACTGATGAGTTTGCTCAGTTCTTCTCTAGTTGTTTTTCTCAACTAATCCTCAGTCTCTTTGGCGTGTTGTTTTTCAGCATTGGAGAGAAAAACAAAAAGTCCATTTCTTGAAACACTCGAACGACGCCAATCTGAGGAGAATGCAGTCGTGCACTCACTTTTCACTTACTTTGGAAACAAACTGTTGTTGGAAGACAAGGAGTTGTTTTCTCGTGGAGTGGATGAAGTGTTTGCGCACAGTGTGTTGATGTCTGTATCAACTGAAGGAGACCCACTTCTGGTGGAACAAGTTAAAGAGCATCTTCAAGCAAATGGGCTCCAAGTCAGACAGGAAGTAATATCCAAGGTAACTTTTGTTGTTGTTTTTGTTGGTATTTGCTGTTATTGTTCAGTTTTTGTGCAATGTTTGAACTGTTGGAAGCATATATTTTTTAGATTGAAAACTAAGTAGCTACATTTTTAATGGGCAATCGAATTTTGCAACAGGATGTACAGATTAGTTTGAGGCCTTTCATTACCGTTTCTTTTTTTTAATATTTCTACCTGATATACTTCGTCTGTAGATTCTTCAACTTTACACCAGTCTTCAGACTAGCCGTAGTGTGATTCTTCTCGGTTGTCCAGGCTCTGGCAAATCCACTATATATAGTACACTGGCAAGTACCTTAAACACTTTGAATGGAAAAGCAACTCAAGCTGTTGTGAAAACACGAAGACAGACAGTTGCAGGAAGAAAAATCAGCAATGCTTTAAAACAGGCCAAGGCCCCAGTAGAAGAGATCAAAGATGTTCTGTGGCCTCGAGTGGATCTCTCAGTTGTGTTCCCAAAATCACTGACATGTGAAGAGGTGAGTTATGAGATTTATGGAATCGCAAAAATCCCGTCAGATCTTAGACGAACCTATTCACAGTATCGTTACTTTGGGGTACAAGAGAGTAATTCAAATGAAGGCTATGGGCAACTCAAACGTGTATTTTTCACATTTTCAATGCCTAGCAGATGACGTAAGCAGTGCTTTTGTTTTCAAACAAATATTAAGTGAATGATCATGACACAAATCCTCGATCAAAACGCTTCTTGAACACAAGGTAATGACAACAAGTGAAACCATTGAATACAAGACTCAAATAATCAATATGTGTTGATGTTAATAGGACTTGGAAAATTTTTATTATTTTGACAGTTGTTTGGAAGGCAACTACCAGATAATAACGTCTGGGTTGATGGAGTGGTATCAAAGTGGCTGCGAGACTCCACTCTGACCCACGATACCATGGCTGAGCTTCTCACGAGTCAGTTCTCAGACAAGCAGAGAATTGCTCGGATGATGGGATCATTGTCACACGTGAAGAAGTGGTTGGTTCTGGACGGACCAATGGATGACACATGGCTTGAGAACATGGGAACTTTGCTGGATTCAACCAGGGCATTGAATTTGGCAAGCGGAGAAACCATCAGCCAACCAGGTGAGCTTAAGCTGTCATTCAATGTGTCTATTCTAGTAGTAGGGGGCATAAATTTCCTCGTGTTCGCCAAGACTTGAAACGGTCTCCCACTGGAAGCATTAGGCTGATTTAGCAACAGAGCGGGAACGTCAGTTGACGACGGCGTGCGCAAATCAAACAACTGGGTTGATTAATGGCTGTGCAGCAAATTGGGCACTGGAAGTCGGGTTTAGTCCTTTCTGCGCGCTTTTCCGTCGTCAAATGACGTTCCCGTTCTGTTGCTAAATCAGCTTATTGGTATAATTAAGGGACGACTGCATGTAGTTTCCTCTTGGGGACAAAACGATCTTCTTTTTCCCTCTAAATAGCTGCAGCATGTTATCTCTTGTCAAGTCAACAGTCTTACATTTTTAAGAAGATTTTCCACTGTTGTTGTTGTTGTTCCCAAGACGTAATGTGTAATTTGGATCTTTCTATGTTTTCAGAGACTGTAACTCTCCTGTTCGAGGTAACGGAGCTTGGTCATGTGTCTCCAGCACTGGTGACTCGCTGCGGCCTGATCCACTGCCCTGAAACAACTGTTGGCTGGAAGTCCATCTTTAGGTCTTGGATGAAAGGAGCTCATGCAAAGTGGGACATCACCAACAGAGGGCAAGCAACCAGTTTTGCATTTTTAGTCTCGCCAGTATCGATCAAATGTTATATATATACTTGGTTTTAACCGTAGGTAGCTTGAATATCAAGCGATTCGTGGGGAAAGGGGCAAAGGAGATGCGAAAAGAGAAGACAGCAAAGGAAACGAAACTCTCTCTGTTCTCGTCTTCCTCTGGCCTCCACCTTCTAAAATCTCCTCTCCTTTAACCCTTATGGAATGCCTGATACTAGGGTCTAGACCTTAAGAAACCAAAATTGATGGACCAAATGTCAGCGCAGTGGTCTCAAGTGAATGAATGAACTTTTGTCTTTGTCAGCAAGCAGATCATTTGTGCTTAAATTTCTCCTATGTATCCTTAGAACTATTTGGAAAACTGTTAACTAAGGACTGAGAGTGAAACGTTATGTTTACCTCAACTGAAAATGATAAAGATAATCGAAGATGTTAATATTTGTGGATTTTCAGGTTAGGTATCATCTCTAGTTTAATGGATCATACAGTGGACTCAACTTTGAAATTCCTCAGCAACAACTGTCAGTCAGTCCTTATAGAAGGATATGGCGCAGTCAGAAAGCCATCCAAAACAGCTGCTGGAATATATGAGGTCCAAACACTGCTACGATATCTGTCCGCCATCTTTGACAGACATATTCTTCGGCAAGATGATGACAGTACAATTCACATGATGCAAAGGCAGCGGCAGTCTGTCAGTTCCACCAGCAGCAGGCAGAGCTCAGGGATCCCAGCCAGTGACACAGGGAAGGTCACCAGCTCTTTTGCATTTGCCTTTGTGTGGGCATTCGGTGGTCACTTACATGAAAGGTATGACAAATGGATCATTTTCGTCTTCATTAATCACAAAAGCAGTGCAGTATAAAATACCCAAACAAACATCCTCTCTCCATGGTCTAATAACTCCCAAAGCTGTCAAGTTTGTTTATTCAAAGAATGTGTTGTTATTTTATGTACCAAATTTTCATCCCTGAACCGACAGTGTAATAACATATTTATCATGTTCAACCCTGTAACTCCCAAGATCTGGCTAGTAATTCTCCTCTACGGCTGTTATGCTTTTCTTTTTTTCTTTTTACATTAGGGCTTATTAGTAAATTTATAATTTAAATTAAACAATAAACTTGTATTCGAATTCCATTAGAAAAAATAAACAAATTGCTCTCATTCAATATTCATAAACTGTTAAAAAAATTTTCCAAAATCACCTATACTGGCCATCGGTTCTCACTTTTGTAGCGCGAGCTGTAGCGAGTGTTTGAATGAACATTAACAGAGTTACGCTCCAAGATAATAAAGAATTTATCATGTTTATTTTTATTTGATGGTTTAACGCAGCGGCATTTTGAGAACTCCTGCAAGCGATGTTCACTGAACGACTGAAAACAATCGGCATAGCGATTAAAATTGCAAGAGAGACTACTAACAATCAATAAAAGAAATATAATTCGGTGAAACATAAACAGAGACAACAATTTTCATTCAGGAAGACAAGTATTAAAGTGTCCCTAAATATCCTGAATCTTCAAGCTTCAAGCTTAAGTTTGCTGAAGTTTATGTTTTAAGCCAGCTTCCCGGTGTTTGTTTTTTTTCAAAGACGAACTCGAGGCAAGAAAATCGCTCAAAGCTTTCTTTTCCGGCTGGAATTATAACTAAAGATTCTTTGGAACATTTTCTTTCTATTTGCGGTGAGAAACTGTCTAAAGGCTTTTTAAAGTTCTGTAAGATTATATCAAACCAGATACTCGGTGAGATCGTTGTCTCAAATCTTACAAACGCGCATAAACTAAATCCCGCATAAACTACGCTCCACTTCATTAAATTAGATAAAAACAAACATGAAATACAATAATTTCTCTGGCTTACCATTCGAGATGCAGCTCCTGAAAGTTATCAGGTAAAGCCAGTATCGCTTCAGACTTTGCAATCCTCTTACGCATCAAGCAAGGTGAAAACGAAAACGATGCCATCCGAGATCGGATTTCCGACTTTGATAAGCGACGTTTTCTCAACCAAAAACCCAATAAACAAACTAGCCATGAGTAACAGAAGACTCCTGATAGCAGCTGAATTTCATTTTGTACATCCAGTGGAAAAAGACAGTTAAAAACATCACAAGTTGACACAAAACTCTGTCAGCTTCAGCTGTTAAAGTAAACAAGATTCAAGATGCTGCATAAATTTTGCGCATGAACTCACCTGTCTAATTTTGACCAATCAGAGCATAAAAATTGGACGTAGAGCGTGACCAACGCGTGACCATTGTGAGAAAAAACAAAAGCAACTGTCTTCCCTGCCTGTAACAGCTGGCTGAATTTTCACGTCCGAGGTCAGTTTGCAATCAAAATTTTAATTGTGCAGCACATAAACACAACATATTTCATATGAATTAAGAAAAAAAATTGAACTTGAGCCTGCGATCACTTGAAAACTAGTATACTTGTCAGCGGATAACTTCAAAAAATACTTGACCTCGACGGGTCGACACCTGAGCCCGCGATACGGTCAAGTGATACTGGTCAGCGGGTACTCTGTTTTGACAGCTGTCAATTGATCAAAACATTGATGTCCAATATGTGTGCATTATCAGTTTTCCTGTGCTCCCAAACTAGTAAAAGTATGAGATTGAACGTTGTTCGCGATCTAGTAAAACAGCCGCTATTATGATAATGTCCCGTACTCTTATCATCTGCCTTTTGGACAATGTATTTGGTATTACAAGGAGAAGTTACATGCAGATTACTTCTAGGAGTTAAAGAGTTAAGAAATGATCCCAGCTGATAGAGCACTGTCCCAGCTGTACTACTTTCGTAATTTATTTCAGTTCACAGCTCATGTATCCACGGAAATTGACCTGTAACTTCTTCAGTTCGTTATTCGGTGCTTGTTGGGCATGTATTTTCTCTCTTATTTTTGTTGGAGTTACCTTATTCGTACTTAATTTCGTGATTTTGGAGAGACAGTATTTCGTGGGGTTTTATATTCGCGACCTCAATAGGCAGTTACCAAAAAAGGACAATAAATTTCGCGATTCAAGCTTTCTCAACTTCATTTAATGTTTCGAAAAAATGGAACCTTTTTATATTTCGGATAAACTGAAACAATCAGATGAAGATGAAAGATAGATGAGGGCTGTACTCCATATGTGAAATCTTTGCAAATTAACTTTATTTTACAACAGAAGATACAAAATGGACCTTATCAGTAAAACCAGTCAATAATTTGTGTATTTGTCGATGTATATATCCTGTATATAGTGTTGTTATTACTTTTTTCTGTGGTTTGAATTTTCCATATGGGTATTAATTTTCGCGTATTTAAAATTCGCGAGGATTTTTGTTCGCGGGTCTTTTTTTTTACAATCGTGAAAACGCGAAAGCAAAATTAATTACCAATAAGGTACAGGGTGTTTACATTTTCCGTTGCTTTTTTTTAGATACGCACCCAAGTTTGATGAGCATGCGCGGCAGCTGTTGTCCTCAGGCCCTTATCCTGTGTTTGTACCTCCTGATGGGTCAGTGTATGATTACTCTTTAGACTTCATAAAAGGTGCACTGGCCAAATGGGATGAACGACCCGGGGCGCAGTTCAAGACACTGCCCTCATCATACACTGTTGTCTCTGAGGTAAAATACAAAAAACCCTCTTAAGACTAGTAATAACCAAAGGTTACTGAGTGCGGGCGACAACGATGGAAGGTCAAAACGCTTTCGTTCTAACGGTGTGCTTTGCGTAAGTTTTACGTGACAGATAGCCAAAACACGCCTAATCAGATTACGAGGGGTAGATGGTCGAAACGCGCGTGATGAAATTGCGTTGTGTGCATTCTATTCATTCTTAGTGGAAGTTCAAACGAAAGCTGGCTACATACATGCGACGCATGCGTAATAACAGCCTGAAGATTAGGATTGCGGGCTCCTCTTGCAGCCCTCAATCTCTTTTTCAAGAGAGAATAAAGGTACAGAGAGTAAAACGCTCAGTCTAGCCCTTGGGATATGTGAATTTCATCAAAGTTATTTTTAGACCAATTAAACCCTTGAAATTAATTGGAAGTTGGTTTCCGGAGAGGTCCGCATACTAGGGGTCATTATGCTGTCTTGGTGTGTCTTGGTGATGCAGTCGCGCGTGGACTTGATGGCCGACTTGATGAGCATTCTTTCACGCGTGATTAGTGCGCGCACATTAAAAATGGCTGCTCCTTTTTATCACCTTTGTATTCTAGTTCTTTATGGAGAACTCATACCGTCGTCGTTTCTAAATTGAATAAGCCCCCCGTCTATATTAAGCCCTCCCGCAAATGAGCTTGAAATAAATAAGCCCTCGCGGGGGCTAAATAGAGGGTTTACGGTATGTTTATATACATATCGGACTGTGCATTTTGTATCTTGTAGTTGGACCGGTACTTCTATTTGATGGACCTGATGGTGTCTTCCAGTCAGCCAGTGCTTTTAGTTGGTTCCACAGGAAGTGGAAAAACCTCACTTATGCAGGTTATGCATACCTTTTTTTCGATTTGAGAACTTCGTTAAGATCAGAAACGTGATAAAATGAAATTAACGTTAAAATGTAACGTGAGGCATGTTAACTTAAAACCATTTTCATGCATGTCACAAGGGACGAACTCCACTTCCATGGCCCAAATCATTTATGACTAGTTTTCTTGAGTTGGGGAGACCTTTCAAAAAACATTCGGCCATTATTTTGCTCTTGCAGACAGTTAAAGCATTCCTCTACTTTCCGCAAATGTATGATAGTGTCTTCACGGCAGCTAGGTGTGCAATTTAAGCTGAGTTGCGAAAAAGCTCTCAGATTATTCCTGATATATTTTTTCTGTAACCAACAGAATTTGATTTATCCACGCCATAACTTTACTCGAATATGCCTCTCGCCTGGTTTAACGTCTAAACTGCTACAGGAAGCGATTGAGCACAAACTTCAACTTATTCAACGAAAGGAAATGAATCAGATGGCTCTTCAAAAGTCGTTAGCAGCTAACGCTCCAACATCAAAAAATCTTCCCGGCGTTAAATCCCGCACTCAGCTGCTTTTTCTGGATGACCTTAACTCTGCTGATGTGGATGAGTTTGGTATTCAACCTCCGCTTGAGCTTCTCAGGCAAATTCTCTCGCAAGGTAATAATATCCCTGTGACCTTGTAATAGGACATAATTAAACTTCCCGCAATCGACTACTCAAATACCTTTATTTGTTTGATGTTTACGAAAAGTGATAGCTTACGAGAGATTGAAACTTTAGTCCTTTGACTTGGAAGACTGATTTTTGATTTGGGTCCATAAACCAGCCTTTCAGTGATCCAGTGTTCTTTAGTATTGATTCGGCCATGATATACATCTGGGAAGTGGAGGAAATTGGGCTAATCTTGCGTGGGTTTAAACAATTAACAAAGTAAATAATTTAGCAAATAGTTTCAATGTAGCTGGTAATCGTTGTTTAGTGGAACTTCGTCCCTATCAGCACACACACTCTCTCTCTCTCTCTCATTCGCTACTTCGAGTTCACATGGTCATCTTAAAATGAAATGAGCGGTCACTTTAACCAAATCTATGACGTCAGTATGTAACACTGCGAATACTGATAGAAGATCGATCAACGTTATTGTGTTGATCATAACAAATCACTTTATGGTTGGTCCTATTGAAAACCAGTTACTTTGTTTCAAATAAACACTTGTAGTAAATTGAGATTTTCTATTCCAGGGACGCTGTATAACAAGCAGCGGCATCACTCCTGCAGAGTTCAACACTTGAAGGTCATGGCTGCATGCGTACCACCCGGTGCGGCAGCATCCTGTGGAGGGGTGGCTTCGTACCCTGTAAGTCACCGCCTGTCCCGACTGATGACTGTTCTGTCGTTTTTTTCACTCTCCTCTGAGTCACTGCGAAGCATTTACAGTGCAGTGTTCTTGGCTTGGCTGGAAGAGTTTCCAGCTTATTCTCTGACCCATCATGAACAATTAGCAAAGGTAAGAATTAGATATCATTTTAACTCAGTACGTACAAGTATTCTAAGAGATAGATTGGCCCCTTTCAACTATTTACTTTGTGTTGTTGGCTTGCTAAATTCAGTTCACAGTTAGTGAAGTTTTGTGTTATATTCCATTAACAGGCGCTTTCATCCGCTACCATCAAAATGTACTCGGTTATTCAGCAAGAACTCCGCCCCACCCCTCTCCACCCGCAGTTTCTGTTTACTCAGCATGAACTGTCCAGGGTGGTCCAAGGTATGATTTCTCTCTATTCCAAAACGCGTGGACGCCCAAGACCCCGCGCAAGAAGACGTACTGAAGGAGGTGGAGAAGTGGAGCAAGAAAGTAAAGGTGCTGCCGTCCCCGCTGCAAATAGTGATCACAGTTTTCGTAACAAAGAGAATGGACAGCGGGGAGGGTATGTCGGCAAGGGCAGGAGGTAGGTGTGATATTATGACGCGCTAAACAGTAAAATTCTGGTCAAATATTTGTACATAGTTCACCCTGTGTTGCAATCAAAAGTTCCGGGATCATTCGACGTTTCTGGGAAACTGCCCACCTACCCCTCCCCTAAGCCAATATTAACACTTGCTTCTCACTTAGGGCAAAATGTTGCTTTTAACAAAATGTACTTATGTCTTAAATAGTGCTCCAAATCAAACTTTTCATCTATCTTTTTCATGTGTATTGATATCCTGAGGTGTCCCGAATTAGTTAGCATTGTTCAAATATAGTTGACATTCGTTTATTCCTATCTATGATCATAGCAATCTGACAACCCTCTATAGAATATGTCATCTTTATTTTTTAGTTGGCCATCGTTGATAAGCGGTCCAAGGGAAACTGCATTATCCGCCAACACCCCAGCAGTTTTATCGCCGATGATTCGTTCGTTACTTCGTTTATGGTGTCATGAAAGTACGCGGACTTACAGTGATCGTTTGTTGACTGAGCAGCAGCGCCATTTGTTCTCTTCGTTGTTGCATGAGACGGTCGAGGAGTTTTTCTGCAGAGACAACTCTGAAGTGAACTCTGAAATGTTCTCTGTAGAGCAAGCCGAGATTCAGCAAGGTTGGATATGTCCCGCTGTATATTGCTGTTTGCTATCTATGTATGGATGTTGGTCTAGAAAAATTTGATTGCGTTTCACATAGAATTAAACGCGTTGAGTATCCTTTGTCTTGGAGGCTGCCATTCCTGTCTGGGTGGATTCTTTGTAGTTTTAAATGTCAATGTTTGGTTGACTGATTGACGTTTGCTGCCCAATCCACTGTTGGGTCAGTTTATTAACTGTTTCACCTCCAGGAGTGGGCAAAGTCATAATTCAACAAAATTTCCCCATTTCACGAAAAAAAAAAAACAAATAGCACTATGTGAAAATACTGCTGAAGAGACTTCATTTGAATGGTAACACCATAGGATTTCATTCACAGACTCAAACGTTAGAAAAACGTACCATATAAATAGCACTATGTGAAAACACTGCGGAAGAGAATTCATTTGAATGGTAACACCATGGAATTTCCTCCACAGACTCAAAAGTTAGAATTAGCTTACAAGACTCTAGCATTCACTGTGGAAGAGACAGGATTAATACTTAATGTGATTTGCGGTTTTCACTTCTTCGTTTTGCCTTTGCTGAAAGCCAGACAATTTTACTTTTCACAGAAATGGCGCCAGGCGCAAATATACCACCGCCTACAGCCAGCTGTGATCAACTGAACAGTGCGGGACAAGATGACAATGATGAGTCGATGGCGCTTTTAGATGAGGAACATCGTGAATCAGGTAACGAAAGTGATGTCGCTCCTTCACTGAATGAAGAAGAAGAGGAATCTGGAGATGGTATTACTGGTAAGACGTCAGTTGACTTGCTCATCTTCTCTTGTAAAGACAGTTTAGATTTAAAAAAAATGGCATTGGTTTTCAGACGATCTTTTAAATCCGTCAATGACCAATTGTATTCTTCCCTAATACGTTTTCTAGTTTCCACGGCATTAGCGGACACTATGAATTGTAATAATCTTCTAGTAATACCTTTATTGAGTTTATGACTTTATGTGATAAATTTTGGACGGCTGGGATAAAATACCGACGGGATCTACCCCTATCGACGACTTTATCTCCCATCAAGATGGTCATGATAACATTTGTTTTTTCCTTTTTCAACTGCAGAGGTAGCGCAAGATGGAGTCATAAGTCCAGAAATAGAAAAACAGGTCATAAATCAAGATGACCCAGCTGTTTTGATAGTTTCAGAGGAGCAAGGTCTGAGCAGGGAGGGCACCGAGGTCGAGAACAACCAGGTAATTCAACCAACCAGAGTGAAGGTGAAATTCGATGATACAAGTGGTGCAAGCTACGGTAAGAGCTACTCTGGTCCATTGATTTCTTCGGAACAGTTAGCATTTTCTGGTGAAGATCTGACAGACGTCATGTTCTGCAAACACTATAACGCCTCTGTAACTGGACGAGAAAGCAGTGCAAGTGAGGTGGCGAGTAAGAATTACCTGGAATGCGCGGAAAGCATCTTAGAGCAAGGGATCAAGAGATGGCTGTCGTCATACAACGAACAAGTAGCTCACTCTTCGGGTGCAAAGATCGTGAACTTAGTGACTTTTCGCGAAGCACTTCAGCATGCTGCGCGTTTGAGTCGAGCTCTGGTAAGAATGATCTTGATTTTTTACTACTCTCGTGACAAAATGACTGACCTTTCCTGCAATTTCCTTCAAACATTTTTCGCTCATATAACCTGCGGTGGCTGATCAAGCAGGCAGCACAGGAGTTTTTTTAACTGGGGTTTGACAAAACCTTTTAGATTTTCCTAAATTTAATCCGTCGCAGCTTTCTCCAGTTTTGGTCGGCGGTGCTCGCTTTTTGCCGTTTTTGTTTTTCTTTCGTAATCGCAATTTTGAATTGGTTATTGTGATATTTTAATCCATTATATGACCAGTCAGCGAGGGCTTAAAGTTGGATGTGTTGTTTTTCTAGGCAATGCCAGGCGGCCATGCTCTTTTGTTGTCAAGTCTTGGTTACGGTAGAAGGACTCTCACGAGAGTTACTGCACACGCGGCCCGTTACAAGGTTTGTACAGTGCTTCATCCACCCTTTTACTGCCTAGTGTAGGTGAAAGGCGCTCAGAAGAACCTATGAGAATTGGTGTTCTCTAGTAGTAGTCCTTCGCAGGGTTACCCACAGAAGTCAGGGTTGTCATTAAGAGGTGGGGTCTGGGATTTCCCCCGGGTACTTTCTGGGGAAAATAGAACCAATGATATCCCTAGCCGTCTGATTCTTCGCCTACTTGTTGTATTTACCCTGCAACTTGAAATCTTAGTGATAACCCCAAGTATGTCGTATGGGTCAAGACAGACATAGTGGAGAAAAGTTTCCTGTCAAAACAACAAAACAGCAAGACTTTAACCCGAACCAACAGAACTGAGGTTGGAGGTGTTAACCGCTTGGGTACCAAGCTTCCTTTTCCAAGGGACCATTATTTTGTCTGATTAATTAACCTTAAACTGGTGAATTAAAGTAGTATAATGGGGACAGTTTACTCCTTTTTTGAGGGAGAATACATAAGCGCCGATTACGTCATAGCCTTTTGTCTTTATCTCATGAATAAAACGGCTTAGTGATTTTAAATCAGATGAGTAAGCACTTGTTCCTTTGACAAAATGAATAAACCAATGAATACTTTTCTTAGTTTTTTAGTTAACTTATCAAAAACTGTATTTTTTGTCGATCTAAAACCCGTCACACCGGTCAAACCACCGAAAAATAGCACATATCGTATCTTAATATTTTATTCATGAGATAAAAGGCCATGGCGTCATTGGCACTAATGTATTCCCTCTCAAATAACTGAGATTCTCCCTCAACGAAGAGTTATCGGTCCCTACTATACTACTCATCAAACACTTTGCGTCTAGAGGACGCTGCAAACGGCTTTCATCGTGCGACCAACCCGATATCAAGATTTTTCCATCACAAAATATTGGTTCAATATGGGTTGATGAAAAGTCCAATAATGTTTCACCTTTGCGGCTTAGCAATTCTTAGCCCATTCTTTAGCAATTTTGAGTACAAAGTCAATGCTTCTATCTCGCAAAATGTCTTTTTCTGTAGTGACTCATCATTGGTATTACAGTCTGGATACACGCCTTAACTATACTTGTGAATGACAATGGTTGGAACCTTCGCCTGGAATGTTCTGGTTCATGCCCATCTAAATTTTTATTTTCTTTTTTCACTGTTTTTCTTATTTCAGCTGATTGAAGTACAACGCAGTCAGTTTCAGAGTCAAGAAGATTTGAGACAGCAGATTAAAATGGCTTCGTTTATTGCCGGCCTTCAAGGAAAACAGGTTGTGCTGTTTGTCCCCGAGGGCGTTAATGACGAATCAATGCAGGACATCTGTTCCCTGATGGCTGAAGGTAAATCTTAGCAGTGTGTGAGACAAGCTCTCACGCCCCACATCTGCAAAGTCAGTAGCCGATAGGAGGGTACGAAAATCTTGCCTCGTTAAGTTCAAATCGCTTTTGGAGCTTGGGTTAAAGAAAAACGTGATCACATGCCTGCCAGTAATCTCGTGTATTTTTTCTTTCCCCTTTTCTGTCATCTTACATTTCCCTTTTTGCCAATTATTCAGGTACTTGCCCTGGCCTCTACACTTCAAACGAACTGTTTATCATCTCAAATCAGCTTCTACCTGGTGGAACACGTGGCGCTCGTCGAGTAGAAAACCAAGACATAGCCCAGGAACGATACTTTCGCCGTGTTAAATCGAACTTACACGTTGTGGTGTGTCTTACGTACACACCGCTCAGCTTGTCTACTGCCCCTGAAGGGAACCAATTGTACAGGTTTCCAGTTTTAGTTACAAGAAGCTGTTGTGTGGATATCTATCGCGCCTGGCCCCATAAGGCGTTAGTCAGTGTTGCAGAAAAGCTTTTGGAAGAAGGAGAAGATGTACTTAGTCTAGTGCCACTGAAGAGACGAGAAAGACACTCGCAGTCGGCGGCGGTGTGTTCGATAATGGCTCACGTTCATTTGTCGTCTCGAACCTTGGTGGAAAAGATTTACGGAGTCAGGGCGTTGAAGTTTTATTCTCCTGACACTTACCTGGATTTTGTCGATCTTTTTAGGAATATCTGCAAACGCTTATGTGTAAAAGAGAAGGTACGTGTATTTCTGTTATTTTGCCGTTTTACTGACCACATGTACCAGCATAAGGCTCTTGGGCTTGCGTCCAACCTGAAGTTGGCCCGAAGTCTCATCTGCTTATGCTTGCATCGTAACCGTTCAAATGAAGTTAAATTGCAACTTATCCCTTACAGGAAGAAGTGACCTACCTTGAGAAAGCGATCAAAAGAATAGACGAGGCTACCAACAGCCTTAACAAGATGCAACGCGAGCTAGATCAGCTGGCACCAGTATTTGAAGCGTCTAAGACAGACGTGCAGCTACGACAAGAGGCTGTGGAAGCCTGCCAGAAGGAGTATGCTGCGGCAAAAGAAACGTGTAAGAAGCAGGAACAAGATATCGAATTCATGCAGGGCCCCATTGAGATACTGAAAAGAGAGGCTCAGGCTGAATTTGAGAAGGTTAGCAATCTTCTGTTTTGTTCTTGACGTGTAGAATTCTTACATGAGTTGCCTGCTTCCATCCTTGGCAAAATGAGCCAAGAATTAGGAACGACTGCTTGTCCATTGCTGAAGATGAAACCCTAGTCTTTTTTGGCTTCCTTGTTTCGGTCAAACCCAAGGAGACCCACCTACTACTTCTCAGACTTCACGCGGGCGATGGGGCAAGAGAGAACGTCTACGCACTGGTTTTAAAAACCGTCTATAGAACAGTTGTCGTTGGTTAAAGCAGACATTAGTATAGGGGTAAGATGCCTGTTTATTGGGAAAGCCCTTCTCTGGGGGCGAGGGGGACAAACTTCGGTCAGTCGTTACTCGAAAGTTAGCCCTCGTTATTTGTTGCAAATGAATCTTTGGACAAGTGACTGCCGACTGCAGAGGTCACTTGTGGTGGTTCAGTGTTCCAAGCTTCACTTGAACATCGTTCTACCAGCTACAGTGAAACCCTGATACGGCGAAGGGCCAAGGAACTAGCGAAATATGATTTTTTTTTTTCAATATGTTGTACTGTTTTCGGGGCGAAGAATATAGCTCGTTATACAGAATTTGTACTGTACTGTTGATTTGACCTGTCAAACCACTTGTTCTTTATTACTGGTTTAGGTGAATCCTCTCTTTGATGCAGCCTGGAGAGCCATTGATTCATTGAATATTTATGATGTTGAAGAGATTCGAACTTACCGGACCCCACCAGAACTTGTCACTCTAGTGGTAGATGCAATATGTCTCTTGTTTAAAAAAGAACAAACGTATGTATTGAACGCTGGAATGTTCACTTAAATAAAGGCAAGAGAGTAGAAATCCTCTTTATCGCCTTCAGAGGGCTCTTTTATTTTGCTCGAGACGATATTTTTGCTCTACTCTAATATCTTCCCAAAGACTCATTATGTTAGATTAAGAGCAATAAATACGACATTGATAACACATAAAAGGTTTGATCATGAAACGATGAACATCCCGTATTGTGCTCTTCCGCTCGTCTTCCACTTACCAGTTAAGCGTAATGTTGTTTTATAATCAAGTTGAGCTTAAAGCAATGCTGTTCAGCTTCAAAAAACAATGGCACAATCCGTTTGTTTTGCTCAAGTATTCCTTTTTTCGAAGGAGGAGCACGACAAAAATAATATACCGGTATACGTTTAGCTCCTACCAAGCAACTCAGACCAATTTCTTAACGTTCTATTTCTGTTTTAGGTGGGAAGAAGGTAAACTTCTTCTCAACCGAAGTAACTTCTTCAAAGACCTTGAATTCTACGACATGAAAAGCATGCCAGACTCTATTTTCCGTGGATTGAAGCTATTTTATAACAATCCAAAGTTCCGGCCGGAGATAGTTCAGGAAGGCAGTATGGCGGCCAAGTCTCTGTGCATGTGGGTACGGGCCGTGTATGAGTTCTGTTTGGTGTACAGAGCTTTGGACCCTAAACGTCAGCAACTGGCAAGAGCTGAACAGGAACTTGAAAAGGTGAAAGGCGAGTTTAAGAGTTACGTTTACGCCAAACGGGAAACGTGATTTTTGAATCACGTCACCAAGTTTCTCCTTAATTGACGTGTACCGTCTATTGCTTTACTCAAAAATAAACAGTTTCACGCCGGTTTTATCCATAAGAATTGTTCCGGGCAGTGTATATCTGCTTATTTTCTATTCTGAGAAATTCTCAGCTAGAATCTGGCGTTTGCCGTTTGTCGTGAACGTGACTCTTTATCTCTCTAAAAACTACTTTTAACTTTGTCCCATATTTCTAGTAAGTATTGCAATTACGGTATTCATGATGGAGATAGAACGATATAATGAGAGAGATATGAGAGCCCCGCCCCTCCAGTCCTACTGCCATTGACAGTAAGTCTTTCTTCCCTCTGTCCGAGGCCTCTTTGTGTCTCAAGGAGGCTGGGGAGAGGGAAACAAAGCGCGCAAGGAGCGATGGGAATGAAAAAAAACACGACAGAGGCTCCCGCCTTTTCTGTCTTCCCATTTCCCACCGCTTTTTAATTCATTTTATTTTTATTATTTTTTTGAACACCCAGCGGGAGCCACTGCAAAGGAGAGAGCCTTTTTTTCTGTTTCGTGCATAATGCAAATCTGTTTCTGTCGATCTTTCTACCGTCCTCAGCCTGCTAATCATTGTATCTCTCTCTTTAGTTGTTTTGTCTGTGTGTCTGTTTTTGCGTCCGTCTGTTATGAGGCGATCAATTTTACCTTGAATAATTTGGAGGGTACATGAAATAACGTGCCTTATTTCTCTTTACAGGCAAAGTCCATCTTGGGAGAAATGCGAGTAAAATGCAATGCTATCAAGCAGGAATTGGAGTCTAATATTCAGTTATACAAAGACAGCGTTAAGCATTCCAGAACAGTTGAAAAACAGATCCAAGTAAGCCGCTAGTTTGGCCTTATTACTGATTGATAACCGGCGGCGGAATAAACAATAAACTATTGAAAGAACTCAAGAATTTCCATTTCAATATACTTCCTGATGCATTGCATCTGGCATAGACTGAAACGTGTTAACCACTCACACTGTCATCAATATCGTTATATATAATCGCACGGAAATTACTGCTTCGTCTCTTTTCTTTGAAATAAGTACAACCGTAAAAATTTGCAGATATTAGAAACGCCCTGTCACGGTACTTACTTTACTACGAGGATTCGCAAGTCAACAACAATTATGTAAGGTTAGATTTGTTCAATGTACAACCTAATAAATCATGCCGTAGTTCTAGAAGGAGTTGCTGCTCTAGCAACATTTATATCGTCTACACTTTGGGTTGTAAGTTTTGTGATTCACGCTGGCGTTTTTCCACAGAGCATAGAAGCTGTGAAGGCCAAAGGAGCTGCTTTGGTTGACAGTTTGTTCACCTATTCTGACCTGTGGCACAGCCGCCGGTCAAGCGCCCAACAGCGTCTCCTCACAGCACCAGGTGACGCGCTGGTCACAGCTGCTGCTGTTTGTTACTTGGGTCCGCTTGCACCTGCCGCCCGCGAGCATCTCTTTTCTGATTGGCTGCAAGTGTGTGATGGCACATCCCGAGATACCAAGGAGCGGCTTCTCAGTTTGTCTTCAATGGTACTTCATGATGCACGAAATAAGGCTTCTGTTGATGATAACTGTACAGGTAATTAGAATGGACCCACGGTTGAATGGATCAACTTACCCTCTAAGAGCATTATACTGTGGCCTTGCAAGACACACTTACGACGTAAGCATGAAAGCAAGGCATGAGGGCCACATCGCAATCTAATTGTATAAAATGGCAGAAGCGCACCCTGCAGCTACGACAAAGAATAGTTCTCACAAATTCTGCGCTGCTGTGCTTTGTAATAATCGTCCCTATAATAGGAAAGACTTCACGTTTCATTGTTTCCGAACGATCCTTGCCGAAGGTTAGTTTCTCCACTGTCCACTTTTCAACGCATGTTCATTTACTATAACTGCTCCAGGAATATCTTTTACGGTTAATTTCTAATCTTAAAATAATCACAATCGTTATTGTTTTCGCCGCCCTATTTACTTTTTTCAAAGACTGCGGGAAAACTGGTGGCCCTTAGGCCTGGCTTTCATGTTTACGTTGTAGGTGTGTATTAACGTGCATCGAATTTAAAGTTTACCCTTTAAGCCCCGTTATTCAGATACAGATTCTCCAAACTGATCTTAATACCTCTCCTTATAGAATAAGTTGAGAGAACTTTTTGGAAGATCAAAACATTTTCCGAAGGCTGATCACTTTATTAATTCTTACAACTTTTTATCTGGATTGTGTGTTGGTATCATCAGGAGAAAAATGATTTTGGTCAGTTTTGGGACTTAACCTATTAAGCCCCAATATCCGCATACAAACTCTCCACACTGATCTCCGTACATTTCCTTGAAAATTCGACAGAAGATCAAATCATTTTCTTTTTGCTGACCATATTAATAATTCTCATAACCCAGTCTCTTGATTGTGTATAGATAGGAGAAAATTGTTTAAGGAGAAAAGTCTTGGGGACAAGGCGCACCGGAACACGTTCGCCTGAACGGAGGCAGTATGGCCTGTCAATTGACACACAAGGAATTAATGGCTTGAGTACCGGGGACGACAGGTCATGTTGGTCACTCTTCAGTCTTGGGTCTTAAATGGTTAAAATCCTTTACCAATCAGTAGTGGCAGTCCAAATTGCTATGTACAAGCAGGTCGGAAAAGTTAAAATGGGGTCTACTCTTCATTGAACCGTGGAAGTGTACGTTCGCAGTTTACCCTTTTGTCTTTTCTTTAATTTTGCATACATGTGTTATTTAATTCACAAAATTCACGACACTACTAACGGCGCAAACAATTTTTTTACAGGTAGAGAATCTCGCCCCACAACACAATCAACACTTGCATCAACCCTCGCCACCGGCACTTTACCACTTCGCAAAGACGTGTCTTTACAGACGATACTATCTTCTCCCAACGAGGTGGATGAGTGGAGGCGAAATGACTTACCAACTGACGAACATGCTTTGCAAAATGTATTGATTCTGCGGAGCTGTGGCGATGATCGATCAAGGGCGTGGCCTTTGTTGATTGATCCACATAACCAGGCCGAGTTATGGATAAGAGCTCTTCACGAAGGTGAAGCTTTTTATTATTATTATTATTATTATTATTATTATTATTATTATTACTATTATTATTATTATTATTATTATTATTATTATTATTATTATTATTATTATTAATCATAATCATCCTCTCCTCCTCCTCCTCATCCTCATCATCATCATTATCATCATCAACAACAACAGCAACCACGACATCATTTCTCTGTCAGTACTGTCTTACTCCATGCTCATTAATGTCTTATTTTTTTGTTTTTATTTCCTGTAGATGATGCCTTGGGGAACCAGAGCCGTCCTGGGACTCGATTGTCAGACCGGTCATCCACTCGGCAGTCCAGACGATCATCCATTGAGTCCGAGTCAGCTGCTCTGGATTATACTCATCTTGAGCAATCAGGAGCAGACGAATATGAAGCTGATGCACAGTTCTCTGATAATGAAGTGGATCAATTCCTACAGTCGCTGAAGGAAGAGGGTAAACTATCAGTCAACATATCTTCGAGAAAACCCAGCGTACTTGTTTAGCTTTCGTTTTTGTTGCTGTTTTTGTTTTTGCGACTACTTAAGGAGATGGCGTGTCCGAGCGGTTAGAGCCCTGGGCTTGTAATCCGGAGACCCCGAGTTGAAGTCCCACTCTGACCGCTAGCTGGATTTGTTCACGGTAGTCCCGAGTTCAAATCCTCGGTAACACTAGTAAAATAGCCAACTTGTTCGCCTTCTATCACTTGGGATTCTTAACTGTGTTGTGTTCTATTTGACTTATTACTTGTTTCATTATCCTTTGGGGAAAGGATAATTACGTTTAAGTATTGTAGATATTTTGACTGGACTAACTGATGTTGTCGTCATTGCAATCAGGTGACCAAGATTTTGTCTCCCAAGAATCAGAGACTGTTGTCACTTCTCGGACCGAGCGGACAACAGGAAGCGGTGTGACCAGCGGACTGACCATGACGAGTGAAAGGTTGCTTGCAGATAAACTCGCTGAAACCATGGGTATTCAGGTACAATATTAAAAAAATGTCTCTACTTGCCAAATGTCATGAAAAATATCCAATTTCCAGTTCATGATTACTGAAGGTGTTTGTTATGATAACTTGAAACCTTCATGGAAATATAGGTCGTTGTAATACGGTTGGAATGCGAATTTCCTCTGACCCAAGATGTCCACCTCTCAGAAATGGTCTACTGGTTAGTCTACTCATACCATTTCGGGTTCTTGATTTTTCTGTGTTCCAGTTTATCCATAATAATTGTAATTTATCTTTCTCTTTATTTGTAGATGGAGAACTCGCCTCAGCCGGTGCCTAGTGGACCCACACCAGTTCTAAATCTCAGTGGAGGTGACATTCTTATCGTGCCAGTGGATGATCCAGAACTAAGTAAATTTTATTACCTTGTTATTGCCGGCTGTATCTTCTTTGGTGCGGAAGGACAGGGGCGCGGGAGCCCAGGAGATTAGAGGGCCGATGGGATACGGGACGCGGGTATGGAAAGGGTGGGAAGAAGGAGTGCTAAAAGCGCGGAAAAAAAATAGGGGAATTTACGCGAAAATGCTTAATATTCCGCAACCAAAAAAGGGCTAAAGGGAGGAAGCCAAGGAAAAGGAGGTGGGAGCTGGGAATGAAAGGTACGGGAGGCGGGAGTTTTGGATCCCCCTCCCCCCCGCCCTCCCCGATAGCGAGGTAAATCGTAGAGTACGGGATTGTGCTCACAAATATTTTCTTGAGTTAAATTCCCTCACCATCCCTTGCTTGAAGATTTTAAAGATCCTAAAGCCTGAATACTGTCACCTGTCTTAAATATTTTCCAGGGCCTTGCCTAACAAGATCAAATATCTATTTTTGTAATTCCTCCAGTTGAAAAACTCCGAGCAGCCGTCAGACGAGGCCTGGTGACGCTGGTGACACATGTGGAGAGAAGACGCTGGAGTAAATCATTAGAACTGCTGCTTATGCGACAAACCTTTACCAACACTGATGGAGTACTGCAAATAATCATAGGCAAGACTGCTGTGGAGTATAACCCTTCATTTAGGTTGTACCTCAGCTCTTCTCAGCCTTTGTTCATGACTGGAGAGGGACTATACCCACTGCCTTTCTCGAAGGTCTGTACTATCAGTATGGCTGTCAGCCGAGAAGGGATCTGTGATATGCTGTTAGTGGATACATTACATCTTGAGAGGCCTGAGTTTGAAGGACAGCTGAGATCGGTGGAAAGGGACGTTGGTCTCCATAAGCAGCAGATATTCCATGCTAAGGTAACTCTTTTTGATTCATGATTCATCGGGCATTGGCTTTGCAATGTGGCTTAAACCTCCGAGCTAAGCTTGAGGCTCTTCAGACGTCAGACATTGAACTCCGAAAAAAAAACCGCAAATGAACCTTACAATCTGCCACTAATCATGACTTATCATTAGTTTTGTTGGCTTTTGAAAGTAAGGCAATGAAATTCGTAGTTAACAGTAAAATGGGCTCGTTTGTGGTTTTACCATTGTGGCTTCGGGTTTGCCTTTCGAGAAACAGGCCCCCTGATCAGTTGATCTACGGTCAAACCCGCTTTACGGACACCCGTTTAGTGTGGACACCTCATTATTATTTACGGACAGTTTTCTTTGTCCCTTTTGAGGTAAAGCCCTCACATTTTCTCTAAATTCAACCCGCTTAATACGGACACTTTCTGTGCCCCACTCAGTGTCCGTATTAACAGGGTGTAACTGTACTCGATTTTGCTTATTGTGAGTGGTTTAACCCTTTAAACCCTAAGATCAAAATTTGAATTCTCATTTGTTTTCCCGATTCATTTCCTACAGAAGTAGTGAGGAGAAGTTGATAAAATATCAAGCAAATTCATCTTGTGTGATCATGTCTGTAATTCTCATGACAACTCTGTTTTACAAAGCATTGATATTACAAGGGGAAATTTGATGCTTATCACTCTTAGGGGTGTTTTGATTTGCTTTTGAGACATTCAGCTAAAATTCAGGCGTTATAGTTTATCTTATTCGCTAAGTGCGTTGCTTACATTCTTCTAAAGGAGTTTATCCTGGAGAGAGTTCTTAACCTTGGCGGTCCCCTGTTAAAAGATTCAGCAATGCTGGAGTCTGTTATGCAGAGCAAAGAGGACATCTGCATGGCAGAAGAAGGATGCCATGAAGCTGAGGTACTGTAAACCTGTTTTTACGTTACTTGCCTAGTAATTATGCAATGTTGGAATACCTGTTCTTGTTGCAAGTTGATTGTAGAACGTTTCACTGAAACCAACTTTATTGTTCTTGCAGAAAATGAAACGGGAACTGTTGGCGAAACAAGATGATTTTTTGTCCGTAGCTCAGCATGGCGCCTTGTTATTTGTAGTCTTATCTGAACTTCATAAGTTGCATCCATATTACCGCTATCCACTCGAGTCATTTTTAAAGCTATTTCACGTGACCATAGCTGAGAGGAACCGCGGAAAAAAGAGCAGTGGCTCACCTGCGGCAAGGGCGGCGGAACTTATCACAGCCTTATCCAGGAAAGTCTTTGATAGGACTTCATGGAGTTTGTTCCAAAGTGAGAACTCTTCTTGTCGAACTCTTTTCTGTGCACCAGAAGAGAGTTCTTTAGTTGGCTACGAAAGCACCATGAGTGTTGGGATACCTACATTCTTTCTTTATGACCTTTATTTAAATCTTGACATACCACTGACATGCTGGGTTTGCCTACAACCAGCCACTGTAGATTGCAAGAGCCACTGTCCATGCGTTTAGTGCACGCTGACGCTGTACGTTTATGTTAAGCGCGTACCCAGGCCCCCTCTTGCCTCCAACATTACATTTCCTTATCCCGGAATGAATGATTAGATTTGATCCATTCTTTTATATGTAGAAAGGCAAATTAGAGTACAAAGCAACGCTTGGCCTCACTGACTTATAAAGTATTCTGGACTTCAACTGAGCACACCTCTCGTTAATCTTTCCCTTTCCTCGTAACCAATTGGCCACAAAGGCACAATCTTTTCCACGAAAATTCTCTAACACACGTGGTGACGGACGGGTGAGACGTATTTTTCTGAGCTCCCCATTTCTTTGAGTTCTAAACGTTCTAAAACATGTCTGGTAAATCAAAAAAAGGCCAAAAGAAGCCGTCAAATCAATCTGCTAATCAGACGGCAGCAGAACAAGCGGAATTATCCGAAACCGAAGAAAGTGTGTCTTTCCGGGATGGCAACGAAGCAATAAACATGGCCGCCGGTCTTCAGGATTTTGAAGTAATTCTGACAAGACGGTTGAAGGAGCAATCTGAGTCTATTCACGATATGATGCTTAAGTACTTCAAGCTTTACAAAGATGATATAGACGAAATTAAACGAAGCCAAGCTTTTGTTGACGCCAAATTCGAAAAGGCTAAGAAGGCAACTGAAGATCTAACTTCGGAGAACCGGCGCCTGAGATCAGAAGTAGATGCCCTGAAAGGGCAGCTTAAACAGTGCGAAATTAAGCTGGAGGAAGTCGAAAACGACAGCGAGGCATTAAAGCAGTATCTTCGTCGTGATATGTTGGAAATACATGGCGTGCCTACGCGACCTGATGAAGAAACAGACGATCTTGTGTGTAAGCTTGTGGAGTTGGTTGATCCTGAGCTTGAGATCTCGTTGGCCGACATTTCTATCAGCCATCGTCTGCCAAGTAGAGAAGGCCGAAATGCCCCTCCAATAATTGTAAAGTTCTGTCGTCGTAATGTCCGTGACCGTTTGTTGAGCAGAAAGAGAGAGATAAGGAGTAAGACAGCTATGGATCTTGGTTTTACCGAAGAGTTTGACTTGTATATCAACGAGAGCTTGACCCAGAAGAACCGCGAGCTTTTGGCTAAGGTTAAAGAGTTCAAGAGGGTAAATCACTTCAAGTTTGCCTGGACAAAGAATGGCAAAGTTTTGTTGCGTAAAGATGATAACCCAGCATCCCAAGTCTATTCTTTTATGTCTATGGCAAATTTTGAGGAGTTCAAGAACTCAAGACAAAGCTAAGTATCGGGCTATATACATTGACAGTTAATTATTAGCCAGTGAAGCCAAATGGCTTCTGACTCTGAGCTCCCTGAGCCTGAGCTCCTTTTTTTCTCATTTAGGCAATAACGATTTTAATATTGCTTTATATGAAATGACGCATGGACCTCTACATTATGATAGCGAACGATTAAGCTCTCTTTTGTACAACCCAATTGATAATTCGTCTGTCTCTAATCAGTTTTTCTTTAATGAGTTAGATCCAGATCAACAGTTTACTTTTTTCTCCTCCTCCTAGTAATTATTATACTGAGGATGAAATTAATGCTAAGCTAACTAATAGTTCAAATTCTCCTTGCTTCTCTGTATTTCATATTAATACACGAAGCCTAATCGGTCATTTAGATAAATTTAAATTCCTGCTTAGTCATTTGCAAAATCCATTTTCTGCCATATGCGTATCGGAAACCTGGCTAACTGAGCTTACGTCGGACCAGGTGGAAATACCTGGATATAAATTTATTTCGAACCACCGCGATAGCAAGTCCGCCGGTGGAGCAGGTCTTTATTTACTTGACGATTTAGAATACAAATTATGCCGCGATTGTAATTATTCTGAACCTGAAGTGATCGAAACTCTTTTTTGTTGAAATTAACATTCCCAATGGGAAAAATATTATAGTTGGTACTGTTTATCGTCCGCCTAATTATAACACTCGGGACTTTTTGGACAAATTTAATGAGATTCTTGCTAAAATAACTAGAAATGACAAATATTGTTATTTGGGTGGAGACTACAATATAGATCTGTTTCACTATTCCGATCATGCCCCTACTCAAGAATTTGTTGATAGTCTATTTTCCCATATGTTCATTCCTCTAATCAATAGACCGACTCGGATCACTGCTCATTCGGCCACACTTATTGATAATATATTCACGAATAATGTAAGGTGTAAACATTTCAATGGTATTGTTATTAATGATATTTCTGACCATCTACCGGTTTTTGTTTATGAAGTGGATGAGACAGAAATAGCGTCGAAAAATAGCCAAACTAAATATCTCACTAAAAGAGATTTTTCAGAAAGAAATAAGAGCAATTTTCGGCTCTCTCTTTCTCGTGTTAATTGGAATTTACGTTTCGATGAAAGCGATACTAATGAATGTTATAATAGTTTTGTGAGTGAGTATGTTCGATTATACAATGAAAGCTTTCCATTAAAAACGATAAAACTTAAAACAAAGAAAGTAATGCGCTCCCCTTGGATAACGCAATCTCTGCTTGTTTCTATCAGGAAAAAAGATAAACTCTATAAGCAGTTCATTAATTCTAGGGACTCAACTACTGAGTTAAAATACAAACGCTATCGGAACAAACTGAATCATCTTATAAAAATTGCTAAACGAAAGTACTATGATATAAAATTTGAGAAGGCTAAAAATAACCTGAAAGAAACTTGGAAACTAATCAATGATGTAATCAACAAACCGAGCAGAAAAGCAGCTCTGCCAAATTCCTTTTTCTCTGATGGAAAACTGTTAAATGATCCACAAGAAATAGCTAACTGCTTTTGTAAGTTCTTCACCAACATAGGTCCGAATTTAGCAAGGAAAATTCCAGACACACAAGTATCTTTTCGTAGTTTTCTTGGCGCTTCTGTTAATGAGTCGCTTATCTTAAATCCAACTAATATTTCGGAACTAAATCAAATATGCAACTCTTTTAAATCTGGAAAGTCGCCTGGATATGATAACGTTTCAATGGATATAATAAAAAGCACCTTTGATCTCATTTCTCAGCCTTTGGCCAATGTAATCAATTTGTCTCTTATTAAAGGAGTATTTCCTGATGAACTGAAAATTGCTAAACTGATTCCGGTATTTAAAGCTGGTGATTCCCAGTATTTCACTAACTACCGTCCAATTTCGCTTCTTTCTAATTTTTCTAAATTCTTTGAAAGAGTTATGCACAATCGTATTACAAATTTTTTAGATCGTTTAGATATCTTATACTGTTGCCAATTTGGATTTCGTAAAAAATATTCTACAGCGCTGTCTTTAATTCATCTTATTAATAAAATTGCAACTGCTATTGACAGAAGCGAATATACAGTTGGCATATTCTTAGACTTATCAAAAGCATTTGATACTTTAGACCATCAAATACTCTTGTCTAAGCTTGAGCATTATGGGATTCATGGGCTAGCACTTAGCTGGTTGAAAAGCTATTTGTCAAATCGCGTGCAGTTTGTCCAGTACAAAGAGACTTGTTCTATTAGGCTGACTCTGAGCTGTGGAGTCCCTCAAGGTTCTATATTAGGACCATTATTGTTTGTTTTGTATATCAATGACCTCCCTTGTGCTACTCGTCTTGCTGAAACTATGCTTTTTGCAGATGATACTAGTGTGTTTTATTCTAATCCCGATTTAAATTGTGCTATTTCTGCCGTAAATAATGATTTATCTCAAATTGATCTTTTTATGAAAGCAAATAAGCTCTCTGTTAACATAACGAAAACTAATTATATCATTTTTGCAGCAAGGCAAAAACCAGTCGGCTTCCCAATAAATCCTGTCTTGTACGATGAGGTTTTATTAAAACAAGTAAAGGTAGTTAAATTTTTAGGGGTTTTTATCGACGAGCATCTAACGTGGAAGCCGCATATTACTTATATATGTAAGAAAATTTCAAAATCTATTGGCGTCATGTTTAGGTCTCGTTTCTTTCTTTCTGAAACAACAAAAAGTCTCTTTATTATACCTTAATTTATCCTTATTTAACATATTGTACCACAGTTTGGTCCTCCACTTATGTAACAAACCTTAATAGAATTTTTCTTCTACAAAAGCGAGCAGTACGAATTATTACAAATGCAGATTTTCGCGCGCACTCTGAACCATTATTTTTCCGTTTAAAGATTTTGGACATATACAACATTAATTCATTCTATACTGCACAATTTATGTTTTCATATTATCATCAATTACTGCCACCGCTTTTTTCGAACCTTTTTGTTACTAGTAGCAATATTCATAATTATAATACTAGAAGTTCCTCGCATTTCCGTTCTCATGCCTGCCGAACTAACACCAAACAATTTTCTATTTTGTTCCAAGGCCCTAAAATTTGGAATTCTTTACCAAACTCAGTCACTTCGATTTTTACATTGCAATCGTTTAAAACGAAAGTTTTTGATTTTCTACTATATCGATAATGCGTCTTGTACTGTCCGTTGTTGTGTGTTGTTATAGTTCTATTGCTTAATATTATTGTAACGAGGGGGCCTCCTCGTACAAGCCTTGTGGTTTTCTGAGGTCCCCTCGCCACATCTTTGTATAATGTAATGCTTGTGTAATCTTTATTGTGGGAAAATAATAAATAAATAAATAATAAATAAATAAATAAATCTTATGTCCCAAGTTGTAAATAAGCTACCTGTGGCCGGCTTTAGTTCTTCGACACCTTGATCAAGTATCCCAGCTTATCTTATGATTAATATGACCTGCTGAAGGTAGGTCAGAGAAAGAAAATAGAAAAGAGAGATATGAGAAGTCAGTGGCCACAGACAACTAGGAGTAAGGGTGACATTCACTTTATCTCACTTACCCATCCATTTTTTTCCAATAGCTGACAATCACTTGTTTCCATTCTTGCTGGCTGTGGAAAAGATGATGAACAAAGGGATTGTAACTCGTGAAGAATGGCAGATATTCACCCGGATGTCCATTGAAGCTCAAGTAGATTCCAGTGCACGCAATATTGATTCTAGTGCTGCCAATACTGATCAGTATCGATATGACAATATTCAGAAGCCACCTTGGGTGTCAGATCAGGCTTGGGATTGTATTGATGAGTTGGAGGTGCTTCCTGTCTTCAGTGGTCTTAAACAGTCTGTAGCTAAATACTCAGAACAGTGGCGAGAGTATTTTAATGTAAGTTCTTTTGACTGTAACTGGACATTTACTTTCACATGGGGAAAACATTGGTTCGTTCATTTCCATAATTGCCATTGTATCGTACAGTGAAACCTCTTTAATCTGAACAGAAAACGGATAGATCCAACTGTCCGTACTACAGATCGAAGACATGCTATTATTATAGAGGTAAGAAATGCATGAGGTTTGTTTTATTCCAAACCAATAGAAGTGTACCTTGTTGAGAAGTATCCGTACTATGAAGTTGTCCGCTACGACTAATGCACTGCATTATATTTTTATGAGCGTTCCGCGACTCGGGAGCAAGCACTCATATACTTACTCTGTGTATATTCGTTTATTATTCCATGTAGTTGCCCCCAGTCCTCCTCGGCATCACACCAGGTGGCTACGCTCATCTCACCGTTTTCCAAAAAGCTTTGTTGTGGAAAACTGTTCAACCAAATCAGGTAACTTTGTGTAGCTGTTAAAGTTTCAAGATTGACAGATCTTGACATCAATTATTTAGCTTTATACAAGAACTAAGTTTGCACCCGCTGGATACGCGACGTAAAAAGATGCACGGCAAGGGGTCGGTGATGGGGGGGGGGACGGGCGGGTGAATACAAGAACATGAAGTAAGTCAGCAAAGTTTGAGCTAATCAGATGTTGACTTCTACTTTGTTTTAGTTGTTCCACGTTTGTCAGGATATTGTGTTATATCAGATGGGTGCCGCCATGACTCAGTCCGTTGGATATGACTTACAGCTGGTTTACCGGGTCACAAGTCGGTCCAGACCTGTATTATTTCTCCTGCCTTCACAGAGAATTCTTAGCCAAGGAGAGTCAAACGTATTTAAAGGTGAACCTTTCTAATAGACGGCAGCCTTGCAAAAGTCTAAATGTAATGTACAGTCGAACCTCTCCTTAGGCCCTGTTGATATTTATGTTTATATTATTGCCAAGTAGAAGGGTCACTCGCATGCCCAAGCTACCCTGGGGCCAGCCACCTTTTCTTAGTAAATTTCCTTACAAAACTTGGCAAACTATTTACATAAGAAACAAAACGTTGGCTCGTCTAGAAGCCAAGTCATTCTCCTGGCCGGACAAACGTTTATCCTTACAGCCCAGCTAGGTTAACTCGGTCAAGGCGAGACAATCAGAGCATGCGTGAGCGCTGTCAGCTCTTCACTCGGGTGAAGGGGTCAACCTTTCTTTCAAAATTGACTCGGATGGGAGGGGAGGGTAGTCCTCTTTCCCGGGACAACTTTTCTGCATATTGAAACGAGGCCCTAATGACACGTCCACAGCAAGATGAACACCTCTGTTGCTCCGCTGGAAGAAAATTATATTTCTCTTGTTAACTTGGATATGATCCCTATAAATTCAACGCCAGGATAGGGTTCGCCTACATTTGATAAAGTGAGTTGATAGGAATATTCGCGAAAGAACGTAAATACACTTTTAGAGCGACGTTCTCGTTGCCGTCGCTTCGTTGGATCCTAAAGTCCCTTATATAAGTAACAATCTACACTCGTCCATTCTGGTTTCCCTGTTTATACGTTTTACTAAATTTAGACTTGTGTCTTGTAGACCCAGTGACAGACGTTATCAACCTGGCTCGTTCGCATAATAAGATAGAATCTCTGGTTAAAGTAACTTTTGGTGAAACTAATGATATGGACAGAGCTTTAGCAGCTGTAACGCAGGGCATGATAACAGGATGTTGGGTAATACTGGAGAACTGCCACTTAGCAGCAAAATGGACAGAAGAATTCTTACACCAGCTACAGGTAGAACTGGGGTCTAAATGCGTCCCGTACTTTTTTCTGGCATCATTACTGGAGACGCGCTGGTCAGCTATTGGCCAATTTTTTTGCTTGTCTCTATGAACAGTCCCAGAAGTGTTTGCGAAAGCTAACTCGTGTTTTTCGCAGTTTCCCTCTCGTTTTAAGTGGCGAATGATGCAAAATATGAGTTCTCTTTTGCTCGTAGAAAAAACGGCAATGCTGTTAAGAGCTACCTTGAATTTTTTAAAATTAACTGTACCAGCCACTTTAAGTGTTAACTGTTGTCGGACTTGACCGAGCTGGCATTTTAACAGTCGACATAAAAAAACAACAACAACAACAACAACAGTTTATTCAATTGTCAAATGAGTTAGGTCTATGTTACCCACAATTAGCGGAGCTATTCTAGGTGGGCAACAATACAATAATTGTCTTCTATAAAGTCGGCAAAAGAACGTAAGTAAAGAGAAAGCAAAAATAAAATGAAATAAATAAATATATAAAAAATAAAAGGTAGCTTTGAGCGCTTTAATGCATAGTGTGTGTACACAGTTGTAACTTTGAATGCCTGTTCTTCAACAGACAATTGTAAACATGCCAGAGATAATCACTGAGAATGAAACAGAAAGACAGTTTACGGGAAGTAGCTGCGAGGAAAAGTCGGAAATAACGACGGAAGCAGAAACGATGCTTGTCCACCCTGACTTCCGGTTGTGGCTCACCACTCGACCGGATGTCGGATTGCCATTACCCGCAGTTGTTATTCACTCTGGTATTAAACTGGCTTGTGAGGCACAAGAGAATTTGAGGGACTCTGTACGAACTAATTGTGAAGTAGCCCTCGGGTCAATGAACAAATGTATTCCTATTTGGGGACCTGCTGCAGAAAACTCTGTTTTCAAGGTAACTGTGCTAACCTCACAAGGTCCATAGATTCTTATTTTTAAGATGTTGATGTAGGTACATACTTCCACTACTTTATTATTCTCCTGCGGAGTAAATTTCCCAGTTGGTAGAGGTGGCTAAGCACATGAAAACGGTTAAACGGGGGTGTGGGAAGAGAAGCCTTGTTAGGAGTGGCAGGAGGGAGCTCCGCATAATAGGGAACAAGGGGCGCTTTCTATGGCAAGGAAACGATGGGACGGAACATGTTAGGGTTTGAGATGTAAGCAAACGAAATGCGTCGTAAACTTGCTAACATGATTGTTTCCCGTTCCACTTAACTACGGATCAACGTAATTTTTGCCCGGAATTCTAGATATTTGGACAGATTCCATTTACTCATATTTACCACCTTATAGACTGCTTGCAGTCCGCCTTTTCTCTTAAAATCCGTCTAGTTCTTATCCCTTACAGTTGACAGAACTTGTGTTTGTAAAACTTGATTAAAAGCCTTAAAGGTTGCATAAAATTGTTGAACATTACGATTTTTGATTGTAGCTCTGTAGGACACAAATCCTTTCCTCTTTACTTGTAGAGTGAACTTAACCCCTACGCCATCTTCAAGTTGGCATATCTTCACGTTTCCCTACTCCAACGTCGAAAATATGGAGAGGGTGCATTTAGCTGCCCATATCAATGGTAAGTTTGACAATATATTAAGCTATAACACTACGCATGATTACGCCTCAAATTACGCCTGAGGAACGCACACAGACATTTCATACTGACGACCTGTCACTAACCAAATCGATTTGGGTTGTGCTTCTGAATGGACGAAGCAAATTTCCCTCGCTGCACGACCAATCAGAAGCACCACCCAGATTCGGGTAGTGACACATCAAAAATGTCGGCTGTTTTTCACGCCAGGCTCACAAACGTACACTTTTACTTCTTCTTTTGTGTAAATAATCGACAAAGCTAGTACCATGACGCGGATATTCTTGGTATAATTGTGTTACTGAAGGTTTAAGTTAATAAGTTTTCCGTCTTCTAAAAGGCTTCAAGCGGATTTGCTAGCAGGTCTACAAGCCTTACGTCACACGTCTCGTGCTTGTAATTCTTCTTTATCTCCTGCTGCTGTGGAAGTCATGTTGGGTCATGTCACTTACGGTGGTCACGTGACTAATGGCTTGGACTTGAACGCTGTGAAATCTATGGCGAGATGGGACGCAACTGTGCAATCAAGACCGGTCAGTTTCTATATTTTTTTTGTTTTGTATGCTGTTTTCCTAGATTTAATCATATTTCTGTTCATATTAGAATTCTCTTGATAACTCAAGCTTTGAGTGTGGTGAATTTTGTTATCTTACGAACGCTTCTTCTCCGTCCTTTTGTAGGATCAAACTAAGGATGTTCTAGAATACAAATATCTTGACATCTACATCGACAGCTTACCAGACACTATATCATGTCACGAGCTGGGACTTACTGAGGCTTCATCCTCTACTTATCAGGGTAAACTCAGCAGGTATGTTTTGTACTTCTGCAACCTAAAAAATGATCAATGGAATGATATCTCTGGAGAGCAGAACTCAGAAATCTAGAAACACAAAGGGTTATTTCATAACTGACTGACAGTCGTACTGAGGCAGGTATTATTTTAGACTATGATCGAAAAAGTGTAAAGCGCCGACGTTATTATTGCATACGTCCTTTTCTGTCAAGAGCGCTTGTGAAATCGGTCCAAACTTCCAAACTCAGATTCTTCTTCTTCCTAACGTGGAATGCATTGAGACAACAGATCCTACCCGACGACCCCTTACTACTCCTTAAAGAATGTTTTTTTTCTCTCTCATTTCAGTGCCGTTGTGGATTGTTTAGCTCTTTGCACAGGACTTCAACCTCCACTGCTGTCAATGGACAATGAAGTTAAGTTGATTGCGAAAAAAACAGTCAATCAAATCTCCACAATAATCGAGTCTGTTAAGTTACATGACCTTGCACACGAAGCTCCCACGAGTGTTACGTCATTTATTCAGAGAGAACTTGCCTTCTTCAAAACTCTATTGGAGGAAGCGATGCAGAGTCTCGAACTTCTCATCAAAGCTTGCTGTGGTCTCATTGCGTTTACACCGGGTCTTTTTAAACTAGCTTTGTCGCTTGGGCACTGTTGGACCCCTTTAAAATGGCTAAATAAGCCAGGAACGGACGTTAGTCTAGCTGCTTGGATGATGAATATTTCAAAGCAAGTGAAAACGCTCGGTGAATATTTACTTTCGTCACCTGTACATCCACAATCGTTTTGTCTGGGAGCGTTTGCTCATCCTCAAGCTTTCTTAGCTTGCGTTCTAATGGACCATGCTCGATCAGCCATGAAGTCTGTCTACGCTCTAGAGTTTTCGGTCGAGGTAAGCACTTGTCTTTTGTTTCTCTATGAATTAGACAGAGGCAGCGTGGCCGGGCGGTTCGGAGCGTTGGACTTGTTATACGGAGGCCCCAAGTTCAAGTCCCGTTCTGACCGCTAGCCGGATTTGTTCTCGTTAGTCCCGAGTTTAAATCCTCGACCACGCTTGTAAACAGCCAGCTGGTTTTCCTCCGGCCAGTTGGGATTCTTAATCCTGTTTCAAGTTTGACGTATATTATATGTTTCGCGTATTTTGCTCGACCCCACTAGCATAACTGCTTAAAATACCGCCGAGTGTAAAAACGGAATTATTATTGTTAGTTGTGGGCAAGTTAAGTGAATTAAAGGTTTCTACGTCTCATTATAAACGCCTTTGAAAAGTATCACTTTTTTTAGCATCCGCTTATGTACCTCTTAGACAACAGTGGTCTATTTTCCTCGCAGTTATTACAGCCAGACACTCTCCCTACCTCTCCACCAAGTCGAGGAGTGTATCTCAGTAACTTGAAGCTGAATGGAGCATCATGGGATACAGTCTGTAACTGCATCTCTGAACTTCTCGCCTCAAATGGGTCCTGCGACCTGCCAATCATATGGCTAAAGCCAGTGGAAGTTATACGGTCACGTGCACCTTCAGCAAAGATGGAAAGACAAGGCAATGATATTCCCTTGTTTGACTGTCCGCTGCTAACCGGACAAGACTGGGGAACAGATTTCTCTACTTTAGTTACCAGTCTTCCTCTACCCTCAGTTGTACCTGGAGAGATTTTAAAGCAACGAAGGGTATCGATTGTATCGATGTTGTAATAAAAGGGTGCATTCTTATTGCACGTGTTTATGTTAGGTTAAACAGTTTACTACTGAAGTGACGTTTTTAACGCTACTGTTAAAGCAAATTTTAGAAAAATTGTATTATTAGCAGAAAATTGCATTTCTTTTGGTATTTTGAGGTTCGGAACTGTTTCACCGTAAGTGTGTGCAAAAACTGAAAACTCTGCGGATGAACGAGAGCTCCCGTATAAATTTACTATGTTTTTATTTTTAAGCATACCTCTGTAAATAGATTTGTTAATATTTTTGAAACTGGGTGTGTCAAATTTGTAAAAAAATCTTTAACTTAATATTTTTGAAAGAACGCACTGTCCTTGTATTCAGTCTAAAAATACCATATTCAAGTGAAGATAATAAAACCGAATGTCTGAACTGTGCACTGCACTGTAATTTTTGTCCTTGGTGCCAACCCGTTAAATCGTGTCTAATGCATGATTATCCCTATCGCAGAAAGCTCGGAAAGATTTTTGCGGCTACGATCATTTTAGCAGTGAAGAATGGGGACTTGATTTCGGTAAACAGTTTTATCAGTTGCGTGACTTTATTTTGGGACAGCCCTGCAGAAATTTTAAGCAAAGTTCCGCTTTTTATTTGGAAACAAATATAATTGATTGGTGTCTCCCTTGATGTTAAGCTCTGTAAATTATTTCAATTCAATGCGACATTTGAAACAAAGTGGAATAATCGGTGTTCATGGCATTATGTACTACTGTTACTGCAGAGTTCGTGCATGATGTTTTTATTGGTTGTTTCTCTTTAAAAAAACGCGAATTTTGGCAACTCGTTTATGAAGATTCCTTTTCTTTTGTGACATAAGAAATTTAAAACTGCGGTATCATTGTGATGGTTATGACCGCACTCATTCGTCACCATGTTTAACAGCTGAATTTTTATTTCGTGACGTCAGTGTCTCTAAGCTGCCCACACATTCGACTGTTTTGGAAACAACTAAAGGTTAGCCTTAAGGTTCAAACAACCTGCGGTCAGCCAAGTCTGCACAGGCAAAGTATGGGAGCGTTGACGTTGATTTTTGTTTTCATGATTTGGTTAGAGACTTCGACAGCAGCTTGTTTTAACAATACAGACTGCAACCGAGCCGATGAAAAGTCCGAAAAATGTTGCAATGGGACTTGCCTCGGAAGCTGCCGTGATCAGTCGGTAAAATGTCAATCGGACACAGACTGTGCTACGGGGCAGAAGTGTTGCGAAAGTGGTGAGTGCATATCCCAAGTCTCACTTTGCTCATTATCATCTAAACTTGCAGTGGCAATTCCACTTTCCCTTCTATTCTTTTTTGCCGTGGTTGTTTGTGTTTGCTCCAATCACTCATCCTGTCCAGTATATAAATCCAATCAACGGCGCCGCACTGGGGCTGTCTAAGATCAACGCAGAATTCACCGCGTTTTCATCCACAAATAGAGGTGTTTGGGTGGAACTGGTATTACACCTACCCGAAAAACTTCACCCTGCCTATCTGCTGCGAAGTCAACGTTTTATCGGAATGTGCAGTGAGGTAGCAAGGGGCGGAAATAAAGTGGATGATGACCTAAAACGAGGCCGTTGACATTATGAACTGAAATCACGCAACATTGACTACAATGACCTGGTACTTTAAAGAGCTTAGCAGTTTGAAAAGACAGAAAGCTGCAGATGTTTTTTTTTATCGGCGATTTTAACTTCATCCAATGACTTACCACCAAGCTGGGTGTATACTTCGGTATTCTTCGGCTGTGTTTTTCACAAATAGCCATGAAGGGAAACTGTCCTAGCGAATGGTCACAGACCACCTTACTTGTCGATGCTGCATCTTCAAACTGCTATAAATCGTCGTTTTTAAGAAGCGTGTTTGTTTCTAGCATTTAATGTCGTAACGAGGAATAGTGAGCAGTGATTATGTAATATGGCTGGGTTTACCCGCAATATCAATGACATTTGAAACTTACAGCATCTACGCGAAAATGAACATTTCATCTATTGACCTGCATCATATAACGCGAAGTCAGATGCTAGAATTTACGTGAGCCTCAAGTTTCCGTTCTTACGTACTACAGAGGTAAGCATCGCAGTTTCAAGTTACTGTTGACTAACAGCATTCGAAATATAGTTGACGCACAATTAGCTTGAGCAAACCGATATGTTTTGTTGTGTTTTTTTGGCTATAGTTTTATCACAAAGCAGGCAGATCGTTTTGTGTTTTTTATGTTCCTGCCGGTTTTTAGTTGCCTTTATAGGGAACGTTGCCGTTTTCTTAAACGTCGAACATTCCGAAACAATGTCCCGAAAACTCGGAATTGATTTAAATTTGCGATTTTCACAAAAGATGCCAAAATACGTTTTAGAACTCGAGAAACAGTTCACCTACAACAAATTGACAGAGAATAAAAGTCTCTAAACTTGTCCTAACTGATGCAATTGTTCTTGGCTTGTGCGCTGTCCACGTTCAAATGATCGTCAACAAGAAAACATCTTCCCTTGTAACTCCAATTCGACCAAAATAAAGGACCAGGAGCAACTTGGATCATTTTTATTTGTGGAATTTAAGCTTTTGGGAATAAACTATCTTTTGGGTGTTTTAGCGTGCTTGATTTCTCTTGAAAGGTAACAAACACTCGCATAAGCCCGGCTAACTAGAAGAACGATTGAAACGAAGAAAGAATGAACAAAAAACTTGTCCTCGCTTATTATTTCTCTTTTCGTTTGTCGTAGTCGGCCTTTTAATCCATTCCGGCGCAGTCTAGACATTCCGATATTCATTAACGTAGTAATTATTCCACAGCGTTGGTAAAAACGCACACACACTTAGCCCAACTTAGCAACCGTGATTTACGCGCCACTGCCGTCATTATTGTCGTATAATTTAGCACATAAGAAGAAGACGTCAGCGCGCACGCGTTTATGTAAAATAGAATCTCGACTATACTACTAACCATATTACTGAGCGCGGGAAATTTTCTTTTGCCCTTTGTTGCAAAGCATTGTGGAAAATTTACTTTTGAAATTGTGCATTTTTAAAATCAGTTGAGTTTCGCAGATTTAAATAGTTCGCTTTTCATGGCCGTAATCCTTGAGTTGCGTCCTTGCGCAGACCTTACTTACCTAAAATTTTGAGGGTCAAGTTTGTTCAGTATTGTTTTATAGTTGTTAAGCATGGTTATTGGTTCGTAAAGAAGTTAATCTTAGTCAAATGAGCAAATAGCCTCCAGCGGCGGTTATTTTTGTCTCTCTCGTAGTAATGCTTTTGAAATATATTAAGACTTCTTTAGCTATTATGTAGCAGTCTTGGAAGAAATTATCCTGTTGTGATCCCGGAAAGCTGGCTTAAGAGAGATGATCCCTTAGGCAATTTAATTATGACATTTTGATGAAAACTAAGACAATGGGAGCAGTAAGAGGTCCTCCCACATACTTAACTTCAAAATTTATGTACCGCGCGCTGTTTTCTGTACGCACGTTCAACTACCTATAGCAACAAGACAAAACGGCCGGCCAATTACGGGCCTCGCCTGTTAGGCCCTGTACGGCACTAATGCGTTTTCAAATTTCATGTCATAGAAAACGCGTCGATAGATGACATAGATTCGCGTCCACACTACCGTTTTGGTGCGTTTTTGACTGTCCGCACTAAAACGCTCGAAAAAGACAGAATTGTACGTTGTAAAGTAAGTTGAACCCTAGGCGGATGCTACAAACACGCTCGATATTTTTGGTCATTGTTTTCATTTTGATGCCCTTTCGACGGTCCACGCTAATACGATATGTATGCGTTTCTATTTTGATCCACTTTCAAGAGCGTTTTCAAATCGATGCATTTTCCCACGGTGAAAGAGCTCAGCGTTTTAGTGTGGACAGAAGATCTAAACGCATTAAATTTCAAGGGTGGACAGGGCCTCTATCTATGTAGTTACTTGTTTGTGTGTGTTACATTAAGTGTGTTAAAACTGGATTTAGACGTGAATCTGCCGAGCAGTGACGGTAGGGGACCCCACATAGGTGAGGTAACATTTGGCGGGTCACCCCCACCTATTATGTAAAAGTGATCAAATTAAAATGAAAGATTACATGGACAGGCGAGTTACCCCACCTAAGCGGGTTACCTCACCTACCTGTGGTCCCCCAGCTCCATGTAAACAGGCCCTAAATTAACTCTGTTCATTTCGGGGTCCTGTAATGTTTGCTTATTGGTGATACCTTGTAATTGATTTGTAAAAAAATATAAGATATAAAACAATTAAATCTAAAGTGTAACAATAATTGAATTTCGATTCATTAAAATTCAAACTAAACTAATAGTCTTCAAAGCGAGGCTTCGGCGAATAAAACTGAATTCGATCCATTATCTGAGTAGAATTATTGATTTTCGTTTCATTCAACAAAATTGTTTCAAATTCCCTTAACCACTATCAGTATGCACATTCTCAAGAGCTGTTGTCTGTATATTACCGGCCTGTGATACACATAAGACCCGAAAGCGCTGGTGTCGAGATTGGATGAGGCACAGGAGTCAGTTTGTCGCTAAACGCCAAATGTGTGTGATTATCGAGTCTGCCGCTATGGCAAAAGTTGAAAGCTAATCGTCTGATGAATAAGTGCCGCTTATAACGGACTAGAAGCGGAGTACTTTGATCTATAAATCAGACACATCAATTGGTACTTAACCCTAAGTAGATCTAACATAAAATACGTGAAGATTTAAAAAAAAAGAATACGGTCAAGGTGAGACTGGCATTTGTTAATTCGAACATTTCCTGCTAAGGGACTGACCATTAGAAAAATTATGGGGGGCGGGCGAAGTCAAAAAAAAAAATATTCGCGCAAGGCAAAATTGAATGAAAAAAAATTCATGCACGCCAATTAACCCTAAAAAATATTCATGCTACGGCCTAAAAAAAATTCATACAAGGAATTTGATAACGAAAAAAAATTCCTGCGGCTCAAAAATTCCCCCCCCCATAACTTTTCTAATGGTCCGTCCCTAAATATCTTTTCCTCTCGTCCTGACTAATTTACTATTTCTGAACAATTGGATGATTGGCTGTTGCAAATTTTAAACAAAATTTCCATTAGTGGTATGCTATCTCCTGATCAAGA